GGCATCTGGAATTCTAAGTGTAATTGGTGCCTCCCATATGGGGTCATGCTGGGCAGAAAAGTGGTGGTCAGAAGAAGGTTGCTTAATGAAAAGGCAAAGCACTTGCATGGTTGGAGGTCAGAGTCCAGGCTGAGAACAAAGCTGAGCCCTGGGATGAGAGAATAGTCAGCACGGAGTGGGAGACCACCCAGGGCCATTTTGGCTGAGCGAGGCAGGGACACCTGCCAGGTGACATGTTGTACCTGCCAGTTACTTTTCTAGGCACAGGTGAAACAGCAATGACAGGCAGAAGTCTGCACACTCATGCTCTTTGCATCTCAATCATGGGAAATAGAAGATAAGGTAACGAAGGCACACAGAGCATTAGATGTGGCTGAGGAGCAAAATGCTCCAGGAGTGGGGATGAGAGTGCACAGGCTATAGTTTCAAACAGGGTAGCCAGGAAAGCATCACTGAGAAGGCAGAAATGGGGAGCACTCCATGCTGACAGCAGGGCCAAGATTTCTGGAGCAGGAAGCAGCAGATGCAGAGGCCTAGAGCCTGCAGCTGACTGGGAGCAGTAGGGAGCAAGCACAGGCCAGTGTGGTCCAAGTACAGCAAGTGAGGGAGGAAGTGCACCCAGGACCACAGAGGACCTCAGAGATCACTGTAAGGACTTCAGCCTTCACTCCTAGAGGTGGAAACCCGAGGAGGATGCTGTGCCTCTTGCTATGCGTGCTGAACAGCATCCCGTGACTGTTGTCTGAGAAGAGACCGCACACTGGGAACTCTACTGTGTGAGGACACTGTGTGGCTGAAGCAGGCAGCGAGGGCTTCAAAAGACAGCTGACGAGTGTGTGTGTGTGTGTGTGTGTGTGTGTGTGTGTGTGTGTGTTGATCCAGTGTGAGGAGTTTGAAAAAACAAGAGCACACCAGAGTTACTAACACCCATTTTCACAGTCTTTATATATACAGCCCTTGTTTCCCTCCTTCCTTTCTCTCATCAACCTAAATAGCATACAGAGAAAGATTCTCCAAAAATTAATCCATTAATTTGGGAATGGCAAATTCCCATTGTGGAACACACGTGCCATAGTAAACTACGGGCACATTCAAAGAGACTGGGGTAAAGGGAAGATTTAAATGCAATGAGGAGGCTCACTGAAGATATTTTGAAACAACAACCCTGGGTCACAAGGCTCAAGAATGAGAGTAGCACCTGTCCAAGTTTGAAAAGTCAGTCACTGGGAAGACATTCTTGCAGAAGTGCTTTTGTGTAAGGTTGAGGTAGCCTTTCACACAGTTGTAGTTTTGGCAGTCTTTCATGAATATTTTTGGTTATCAGGCATGCATTCATGAGATCCCCTCCTGTACAGTCTCCCATCTTTAGTATTGAGTTTGTTAGGGCTTTACACAGGCAACTCCATCTTGATTTTGTCAACTTTCACGTTCCCTACACTATCACATTTGGTGCATCTGTCTCTCATTTCTAGTTTTGTGACTTTTAAGCTCCATCTTTATATAGAGTTTGTATCTGTCCATTTCCCACACTTGTATCCCTGGAATCAGCATCATTCACAGGTACCACTTCAGGCCCTTCTTAAGTGTCTTGACCCTGACCACTCTTCCATTCTCACTAAATGCTACATCCATCCTTGTTTATTAGAGTTCACTGCACCTACCAGGTGTTTCAGGTAATTATGTAGTCTTCTGTTGAGGATGTTTATATTTGAGCTATCATTGACATCAACCCTTTTACTTACACCTTAGAAGAATATCAGAATACAAATTCTGAAGATAAGCTGATTTTGAAGTCTGTTTCTTAATTTCCCTAGAATAAAAATATGTCAAAGCCATTTTCCTAAAGTTTGAGTGATGTTAAATACCACTTATATAAAGAGAAAAAATCCTCTAAAACTTCTAGGTTGAATAAAATTATTTTTAAGATAATATTTATTTTTTTGGCAGTACTGGGAATTGATCTTAGGGTCTCATGCTTGCTAGGCAAGAGCTCTACCATGTGCTTGCTAGGCAAGAGCACTACATCCCTAGTCTTTTTGCTTTTAGTTTGTTTTTTAGATAAGGACTCACATTTTTCCCAAGGGCCAGCCTTGGACCATGATTCTCCTACCACAACTTCCCAAGTACCTGGGATTGCTGGCATACCCCCCACCACATCTGGCAATATAATATATCTTAAATATATCTAGATGTAAACCGAGACATAAATAGTTCATGCTTACATAACTGTAAGTCCCAAATAAAAATTTGTAAGTTAAAAATAAGAATACAAAACCAAAGTCCACCATGAATTTAATATTGAGGTGCTGTCATTTTACTGACCCTAAACAGGGACCTGACTCCACCCCACACCTGCCACACTGGATTGCATGCTATCCCAGTGCACTTCTTCCTGGGGCTCTTCCCCTGGCACTCTCAGCCCAGACCATGGCACTGTCACTTGCTGAGGATGCTTCCTCTACATTCTATCTGCCTCCTTTCTTCTCATTCATTTCAAAAAACTGAACTATGACTACTTGCTCCCAGGTTTGAACTAGGTTTGAACTATCATGAGGATGCATTTCCAGACAGTTTTTGGTTACATTGCAGCCAATCACTTGATCCAGATATACCTTTACTCACTGCTCAGGCAGATGGTCATCATCAAAGCGCCAACCCAGAAAGAGCAGACTCTCAAACAGAGCCTTGACCTGCAAGTCTTCATGGCCTCCAGCAGGAGAGACACCCAGCTCAATTACATTTTCTCACTTCAAGGACCCAAATTTCCTTCTCCACAGTATCGGACATGCCTGTGACTTACTAATTTATTATGTTTTCCACCAAAATATTTGCCTCAGGACTTTCATTTATTTCCTTAAATAAGAATCTCTTGTACTACCTCAGTGAACATTTATGAATCACTTTCTCATAGTATGAGTTGCTGCATAAAATCAAAGACTGAAACTATGTTCCAGAATTTTCCATGACTGGAGAATTTCATAATTGGAACTAAAGGCAGTATATTAGTTAAGATTCTCCAGAGAAACAGAACCAACAAGGCGTGTACGTGGAGATGTAGACGGGGGAGATTTGTTAGAATTGGTACATGGAATTGTGGGAACTGAGAAGTCTCCATCTGCCTTCTCAAGTGGACAAGCAGGAAAGTGTGGTATAATTCAGGCTGAGTATAAAGGACTGAGAACCAGGGCCTTAGGGGTTGGGCAGAGGCCTGAGCACCAGGAGTGCCGAGGTCTGAGGGCAGCAGAAGGTGGATGGCCTGGCTCCATGACAGAAAGAGACCTCATCCTTCCCTGCCTCTTCACTCTAGTCAGGCCTGTTGCCCTTCATGGATTTGGTGATGCCCACCCACCTTGATGAGGGTGTGTCTTCTTTACTCAGTCTACTAACACAAATGTCAGTTAATCTCTTCCAGAAACACCCTCACCAGACACAGATGCTTTGCAATGATGCTTTACCAGCTATCTGAGCATTCCTTAAGCCAATAAAGTTGAGACATAAAATTAATCATTATACCAGTCAAATTCCTCTTTAAAATATCCTGCTTAATTATTAGCTGGGTGTGGTGGATCAAGCCTGAAATCCTCGCTACTTGGGAGGCTGTGATCAAGAGGATTGTGATTCCAGGCCAGCCTCAACAAAAAAGCTTTCAAGACCTCATCTCAATGGAAAAAACTGGGCATGGTGATGGGCTTATCATCCCAGCTATGGCAGGAAGCATAAAATAGGAATCAAGGTCCTGGTCAGCCTGGGCAAAAAGCAAACTCCTATCTCAAAAGTAGCCAATGCAAAAAGAGGTGGTGGTGTAGCTCAAGTGGTTAGGTAAGTGCAAAGCCCTGAGTTCAAACCCCAGTGCTACCAGAAAATAAAAGAAAAAATAAAATATCCTACATAAGCACTCATCCTTCTTTGCAAACCTCCTGCCACTATCTTATAAAGCAATTCTTCCATTTTCCTATTGGTTTAAATACTGCCTTCCAGAACAATGCACAAGCACTCTTGCAAAGGATACCTTCACCCATGTGAAGACAAGTTCCTCCACCTGCCTTTCCCCAGAAAAACACCCTCAGTATCTGCAAGTCTTCCCACATTGCAGAGCTGAGTAAAATGAGAATGTCTCTGTCGTTTCTTTGATATGTATGCATACGAGCCAATTTCCTTAATAGAAACTCCAACAGATTATCTGATTCAAAGGTCTTATCTTAAATAAACAGGTTTTTATAACAATTTTGTTTCCAGGGTTAACATTATAAATGACTTCAACCTAATACTGTAGAATAATTTTATTGAAAAGATGGAATATGTTTTAACTGATAGTATTTACAAATTTATACCTATAGAAATATAGGCATATAGATATTATTTATTTCATTTTACAATTGAAGAAAGACAATGTGCAAGCCTAAAGAGAGAAGGATCAGTTAAGCAGAATCAGAAAGTGGTAACAAGACTACTATAGCCCTCTCAGAAAAGACCTTCCCAAACTCCAGTGGGGATCCTACAGATCTTGACACAACCTCTTGGAAGACCAGGGGAGGTCCTAAACCCCAGCAAGCTGTGTGAAAGCAAGGAGCTCAGCAGCCTTTTTCCATTCTCAAATCTTCAGGAGTAGAATTCTGACCCCATAAGCCAGGACACAGGACATAATCCCTAAATGAGAACCCAAAGTCCCCAACTCTCCCACTTTGCTGCCACAAAATCCTGCCTCTGTATTAGGGACAGGTGACATGCTGTGTACATTTCTGAGGATCAGAAATACTGTGATATGCTAAGACCCCTACAAAGCCTGGATCATACTGGAGAAGGGGAAAAGGGCCTTTTCTACCCCACAGCCATGGCTTCTTTAAATGGCTTTTGTGGGCGGTTAGACACGTGTTTTCAGGTACACATCTATGACGTCCCCAGCGTCAGCATTGGTTGTTGATAGTCATAGCTGTATGTAAGAGCATATTACTGCACAGAATGAGAATGACATTTTTGTGATTAATTCTCCTTCCCAACAGCTGGCTGTCCCAACTCCTTGATTAAAGAGCTCCATCACTTCAGGATTCTTGGAGAAGAGCAGGTGAGTCTGACTCTCAAAGGCCGCATCATAGTGTCAGGAAGATGGACGCTAATGAGACAGCTTGGCTCTCCCAGGGGAAGCTGAGTGTGTCTCCTGACCCATGGCGCCCTGACATGGGGAAGAAACCCATGCTGGAGATACATGTGAGGACACTTTTTTCCTCTTCTATCCATCAGACCTGACAGGTTATTAATTGGTACATCTGCTCTCTGCCAGAGCGTTTCATCTTAAGACTCAAGCAGTAAGCAGGCGCTGCGTATTGGCAGATGAGCAAACAAATAAATGCAAAGAGGAAGTATGCTGAAGGGATTGACAGCCACAGGATTCCTGATGTGGTGTTGGGGTAGACGTACAAGCTCTTTTCACCAGGATTTCATACTTCGTGTGTTATCTACCTTCTACAGCAGCCACTTCTATATGGAGGTTACCATGTGACACACAAAAGGATGGCCCACTCAAAGTATAGAATATTTAAATGTTGTACTGTGTTCTGTAGGAATGTCACATTTTAAATAGATGTGCTATGTACATTTTATATGTGTGTGTATGTGTATGTGTGTATGTATGTGTGTGTGTGTGCGTATACTTTTGATTGCTTAAAAATATAATTCCATATCCATGGGTTCTGCATCTCTGGACTCAACCACACACAGATTGAAAATATTTGTAAAAAGACAACAACAAAAATGCAATAAAAATGGTACAAATTTAACAACCAATACTGTTAAATATTAGCATATCATTTGCATTGTATGCCGTATTAGTAGTAAAGTAGAGTGCTTTAATATATGTGAGAGGAATGTGTAGATTTTATGCAAATACCGTACCATTTTCTATAAGAGACTTTAGCATCCTTAGATTTTGGTTTCTGCTGGGAGTCCTGGAACTGGTCCTCCATGGATATTAAGTGACTATTGTGCATCTCTCGATCCTTGTATGGAATCTTAGTCTCTGTTATTAGTATGCTAAATATAAGCATTGTTTCCTTAAAATACGCTAGATAGTTGGCAACATGTTGGTTGACCTAACTTACGCTCTGTTGTTGATTTTTACTTCAAAGATTGTCTTTGCCAACTCTCAGCAGACAACATGCAAATGGAGATGGGATAGCTCAGTTTTATCAATGAATTGTGGGATCCTGTGTTTTTGTTTAGGGGGTGTGTGTGTAGCAAAGTATGACTGCCTATTTCCAATGTGAGATTAAAGCTAGAAAGTATTAGGGAAGGACAAGAAACTGAAATTATTTCCATATCCTTAAACAACAAGTTATTACATAACTTTTCATTTTTCCAGAATATCAAGTATAAATGTTTATTCAAATGCAGCAAAACCAATTTTCCTGCATTGCAGGTAAGAGTTGGTAAGAAATTACCCCAAATACACCTACTTATGAAGACACTTGTCTCTCTCAGCCATTTTCATGATACCCTGAGAGACTTCTGAAAGCCAGAATCTCTGATTGCTACTCTGACATTTCTGTTCAGATAATGGAGTCTCTCGTCTAAGGTACCAATATTTGCTAATTGGGTCTGTATTTGTTTTAGAGTCACTGGAATTAGTAGGGAAAGAAGCCAACTGTAATCATCTCTTCAGATTTTTCATAAAAGTCAGGCCACTTTGCATTCTCCTAGAAATTTAATAGAGCCATTATCAAAACTAATATTACTCTGATTAGTTATAGCAATATAGTACTTCATGGCAATATCCATCTCTGTTTCTAGAAACTCACATTTATTCTCTCTTTCCATTCAGCAATATTACTAAATACCTACTATGTGCTGTGTGTCAGCATAGTTTATAGGGATACAAGATAGTAAGAGAACTCTCCATCAGGTTCACATTGTAGTTGGGAAAGGCTATGTTACATTATATGGACATAAATGGTTCAGTACATGTTGTTAGACGGTTATCGCTGCAAGAAAAAGCATAAAACCCAAAGGAGAGATAGGAAATGCTGGGGGAAAGGTAAAATTTTATATAATGTGGACAGGTGATACAGGAGTACAGACTGACAGGTATCAAGGGAGTGTCATGGTCACACTCAGGAAAAGAAACTTCTCGAGAGAGGACAAAGCGAGCACAGAGATTCTGAAGAGTCCATGTGAGTGGCGTGTTCCTATAGAGTCCAGGGACCAGTGTAATGGGAGAGAGGGAGGCCAAGCAAGAGTCATAATAGATGAGGTTAGGAGAGGGAAGAGGGAACCACGTTGCAGAGGTAAGGTTGGAATAAACTCATGTGTTAGGGAGGAAATAGTTATTTTGGATCATGCTTTCAGTCCAAAGTCTGCTGGCTCCCGTGCTTTGGACCTAAGGCCAGGCAGCCTATTATGGTGGGAGGGTGTGGAGGAGAAGCTCCTCACTTCATGGTAGCAGTGGACGAACCAGCTGACTTCCTCTCCTGCCTTTTGCTCTGTCTGGGCCCCCAGCCCACTGGATGGCACCATCCACGTTCAGGACTGATCTTTCCCTCTCAGTTGCTATTCCACATGGCAGTCATCTCTGGAAACACCATCAGAGGTACACCCAGAAGTATGTATTACTAATCTCACAGGTGTCTCTAAATAAATCAAGTAACAATCAGGATTAACCATCACAGGAAGGAAGAAATCCAGGCACCAGCTGTGAACTAGAAGTCAAAAGAAGTTGACATTTCTAGACGTGATCAGTTGTGTTCCATGTTCACCTAGTAGGATGAAGATGAAAAGTGAGCAGTTATAGAATGGGGGTCATTGGTGACCCTGACCATTGGTCATTGGTGGACTTGTCACTGGCAGACTGGTGAGGATGAATATATGCCTGAAATTGGTTTATATGAGAAGGGAGATGAGAAGAGCAATGGAAATAGAAAATAAAAACAACTTTTAATTTTTCTAAGGAATTTTGCTATAAAGGAAGGCAGAGGTGAGAAAATTGCTTTCACTTTTTTTTTGCATTGTGCTCAAGATCAATCCCTAGGCCTTGTACTAGCAAAGTACTCCACCACTGAGCTATACCTCCCAGCCCATAAGTTTGCTTTTATGGGAAACACTGCAGCATGTTTCTGTTCTGATGGGCATGACTTGGTGGAGGAATTGGGAGATAGCTTTGTTGTAGAGAGAGTAGAGAAATCAAGAGCTGTATCCTTGGAGATGGCCTGGCCTTAGAGGAGAGAGGGGGTAGATCCCCCTGGCAGCCTGGCAAAAGCAGCAGATATAGGTAGGCACTGCAGTGTGTACACAGGAATTGGTCGTGAATCTTCCAGTAGACTTCTGTTCATTATGACACAGGAAGCTAGGTCATCAGCTAAGTGTGTAGATGGGGAACTGGATTTACAGAGGAAGGTAAGGATAGTGAAATTGTCATTTAGGAGGGCAGAGACTGAATGAACTTGAGAAACGGATGGATTTGGAGGGAGATCAATCAGCTTGATTTTAACCTATACATTCACCTGTGTGTGCACAGGTACAGCCAGGGCAGGGAGTTAATTTAACCAGCATTGGGATTCGGCCATCCAAGTGTAGCAAAACTGAGAAGGAGCAAAGAGGAGAGGCTGGATCTTGTGAGTTTGCAGCTGGGCAAGCAGAGAAGAGAGAGGACAGAAGGGCATGGGGAGGTGGTAGGAGCTGTGGGTTACAGAGAGAGTGTTTGGAGTTTACGCAACTAGCTACAGAAGCAGCTGCTAGTCAAAGAATGCAATACTTGAAAATGAGGATATGGATGGAGGTATGTGATCAGCAACAAGTTCTAGAGAGATCCCAGAATAATGGGTGGCTGATAAAGGGCAAGATGACTGAAGCTGAGGTCATAAACTTAAGACGGTAGGATAGGGTATTGGAAGTAGTATCACAAATGTAGACATACTCCTCCAGAACTTTCTCTCACCGCAGCAAACTTAGAGGGTTATGGTGAGCCAAGTGTGGAAGAGTTGGGGGAGAAAAATGGAGCAGAGTACAGCCTAATGACTTGACATTGAAAGCTGGAGGAGTTTCAAAGGAGGAAAAGAAAGATGTCCTGCTTGGAACATTGCAGAACGTGGTCATAGAAAGGGCCACAGTGAGACATCAAGGGAGCTGGAGGAGAAGCAGTGTCCTCAGGTACAAGTGGTGTCACCTGAGGAAATAGACTGCTGACCACTCATGAGTCCCCAAGCGTGGGGCCAAGGTCTTGGGAGCTGGAACAGCTGAAAGGTGTGGTGGGGAAAATGGATACACAGAGTCTTAGGTGGGGCTGAGGTTATCCCAGAGATAAGTGTGATGGTATTCTTTGGTGACTGATAGAAACAGGATGTCCTGATCAGTACAGAATATTTATGTTCTGATAATATACTACAAGACCAGCAGTCACATGGCCAATGGTGGCATGGGGCTCTGGAGAGGAAGTGGAAGTCCCAGCCCCAGCTCTCTCCAGTGAGGTGGGCAGTTCACCAGGAGCTGAGGACACTCTCAGGCTCTCATCAGATGCTCCATCAACTTCTATTATTTGATAAAATAAAAACTTATATTAATATATGTTTCAAAATCCTTGAACCAAACGTTTTTGTCTCAGTAACTTGGCTTTTCTTTTGTATAGAAGGAAAAGTGGTCCTCAGCCAACTCTTAGAATTTTTATAAATAAGTAGGATTGCAAAATGAGCTGCAAATACTAGATGTCACACTAAAGTGTCTTTGATTTTAAATACTGTTTACACTCCTCCAACACATTGACATAGCAGCAACAAAATAGACCCTAAAATAAGGATGATGTTCAATTAGAAAGTGAGTTGATAAAATCTACACAGGTGATGGTTAATTGCTGAATTTATTGCTGGATGGCAGATGCAAACCAGCTACTTAATTTCTTTGTATATGATTCCCTTCTGTTTTCATTGGTCTTTAGTAGGCATTTTGATGTCTGAGATTTGGATCGAAAATAAATCACCAAACACTATAAATTATTACCTTCTGAAATGAAACTTAAACTCCTTGGAATGTAAAATAATATATTTATTTTAGCTTCTTGGCCCTTTCTCTGATTTGTATCTA